AAAAGTAGTTAAAAAAAGACAATGCATTTTGTATTGTGATCAACACAAGCCTTCATGATTCTGTTTTTGTGATTTTCAGCAAAAAAGTGAGAGGGACTGACTGAGAAACTGTATCTTGTGACTGTTATTTGAGAGGAACTTGTTTAACACTACAAATTATCTTGCCTGTTACACTTCCTGCTAACAAAACTCAGATTAAAGTCTCCAGTTAGCATCACACCTACAGGGAATGACATCAGCTGCAAAGAATCAAGTGTGTGCAGTTTCTATGACAAAGGGACTAGATTTTACAGAGTAATGGAAACACAACCAGGTCGAGTAGAGTAGGGCAGGGCTAAGTAGGTCACCTGTCCAGCCAGAAACAAAGACGAGTGGATCTGGAGCTGTGTCCTGTGTCCCTGATTTCAGAGGGTTTTACTGACAGGCAAGTTAACCAATCAGAGACATGCATGCTCTGTTCGTGTCAAAACAAACATGGCTGTTTACGTAAAATAGAGGGAAACTCTGAGGAACAGTACAGATTTTTACAGAATCAATCAAACTATTACTTATTTCAGGTAAAAGAAGTTCTATATTTTGTTCTGAATTTTTGAGAGATGGCTTCCACATATGAGAAGACACGTGATACAAATGAGCGTGATTGGATTGTCTCAAGTTTGGACTGATGTTTTTTACACTCTAAGGTCTGGTCCAAGTCTGTTTTGGATTCAAACAGAATGTAGAAGGGATTGGCCACTCAGACAACCAAGTAGGGCAGGTGGAACAGGGTTAAAGGTGACCTGCAGAGGGCGCCTGCTGACTGTGAAAAGCCACAGTGCAGCAGAGTGGCCCACTACTTCAGATCAGGTCACCTCTGCAAACAAGGCCGTGCTAAACGTGCTCCAATGAAGTGAAGTTCTGATAACCAACAGATGGCGCTAATGTCTATTACACTTGGAGGCATGCATCAGTGTCTCAGTCTGCTAATACTAAACTAAACTAAACTATGAGTTCTTCAGTGTACTCATCTGTTTGCCTCAAATCCGCTGGGCCCAAAACCAAAACAAATATCAATGGATTTAAAAAAGATAGCATTGGTTCATTTTAGAAGAAATAAGGATCATTTTGTGTTTGAAGAAATAGCAGAAGGAAACACTTTATGCAACTGGATTTAGGAAAAAAAAAAGACACAATAACATATCACAAAGCCAGCAAAAATAAAAACCAAACAGAACGAACATTTCCTTTGAAGATCTGGAGAAGACTTGCCCACTTCTCCCTCTGACATGTTTGATCCAGTGTCAGTGGCGGACGAGTCAAATGCAGAAGGCGTGGACCACTTGAACATGGCGCTTTGAGAAGTGCCCTTGTGAATGCAGCACACATGTTCTGGTACATCTGGTATTATCTGAAGAGACAGCTCTCACTGTGAAGCCTAATAGTAGGAATTAGGCTTCTATAAATACCCTGCATGGATACCACAGGAGAGGCGTTCATGTGCGTTCGGAATTTCAAATACTGAGACTGTAACCCACAAGAACGTTACTTTCATACATCTCTTTAAATGAATACGCTTATGGTATATATGTATATATTAGAAAAATGCTTCTGAACATGTCTCCTTATATTTTCTTTCTATTTTGTTTTCCAGTTTCCATGGCGATAGTACAAGGACTCATGGGTAGTGGAGTGTAGTCTAGTTAGCAACAGCTCATGTCAGGAATGTTTATAACCTTCAAAATAAGATAAAAATGCCTGTTTGGACTTCTATTTAGAAAGGTCTGAGGGCATACACCACCCACTATGTGAATAATCAAACATTAATTCATCTAGAAGATAATACACATAGAGGGACTATTTCTATTTTGTTTTCCAGTTTCCATGGCAATAGTACAAGGAATCATAAGGTAATGTTGTCTAGTTAGTTTATTTATTAGTTAGTTAGTTAGATATTTTATGTACATTCTGACATCATCTTAATCTTAATCTTAAAGCCTTCAACCCATTTCAAAGTTTGTCAGGTCATGTCAGGAATGTTTACAACCTGCTCCTTCAAAATAAGATAAAAACGCCTGCTTGGGCTTTTATTTTGAAAGGTCTGAGGACATACAATACAACCTAAAATCTAGCAAAGTTAAGATGACTTGAATTAAGAAAGTTTTATTATGATTTGAGTAAATTTCACTTGGCAAATTATTTATTGGCAACTTCACAACAAACTGCACTTTACAAGACATTATTGTTATCATAGACGCCCTGAACATAATTTGAGCTGTTTTAAAGTTTACCAGATCATGAAGCTTAAAGTCTGATGATTTTAAAAGCAGCGGATGCAGATACTGGACCTTGTGTCTTTTTTTTTTTTTTTTTTTTGCAGTGAGATAAGAGCATTAGTCTGCACATGTGTACCCCTGTTTAGTGTTTTTATTTATAGACGCTCATGTGAAGATGTTTACTAGGACTCCTGCAGACACAGAGCTGATTGGCCGGTGAGTAGAGTCGTCATGGAAACCGCACGTGCAGCAGCCAATCAGAGTGGAGATTGAGTTTGCAGAGAGAAGAGAGAGCGGATAGGCTGAACAGTTTTAGTGTGGAAAAGGTGAAAAGGGGCATGATTGTATTTCGGTGTGTAATTTTGTCAGTAGCTTTTATTTATTCATTATTTTACGCACAATCAACTCAGACTAGGTTCAGTTTAACAGGGTAAAATTCTCTGGCGCCCTCATGTGGTTGTTTTTCATAGATCACAAGCTCTTCACACCCTCATTCAGCATTTTTTTCATTAGGTTCGATTAATCTTCTATTGGTGACAGCTTTAAGGAGGCCACCACAAACAGACAGACTCCCCCTAGTGGTAATTTCTGCATTAAATTAAAGTGGGGTGTTCTCTTATTAAAGCAATGTAAAGCGTAAAAGGACAATATGTAAGATGTTAAGTTTACATTATTATGGCCGCGTCGCAATTATCTTTCCTCGCTTCCTTCTCCTTGCTTCCTCTCCTCGATCCTTCATTTCTCAGCTGTCAATCAAACATGTCATGTGAAGTGGTGTCCCAAAGAAAACCATGTAATTAAGGAGTAAACATGAGGGAGGCTTCAGGAGGCGGACATCAGCTTATTTTGTTTATTCTAAAATTAGCTTATTACTTTTGTTTGTCAATTAGTTTACTCATGTAGTTTTTGTTAATTTATGTATATATTTCATTTTTTATTTGTTTGAGCAAGTTACAACAAAAAAAAAAAAAAAAACAATAACACAAACAGGGATAACAGGAGGACAAAACAGGATTAACATATTTGGGACCTGGTGTTCAAATGGAGTAGGATGAACTTTAAAAAACTTACAGTGTTCTGACCCAATTATATATTTTTGCTATGTTAATATTATGTTTGTTAATTTGTTTTGGCACATTTTCTGTTTTGGTTTAACCTTTGGGGCACCTAGGGGATAAAAGAGGGGGTACAGGTAGACCAGAGTGCACCTGGGAGGGCCTATGTTTTTTTGCCAGTTAAGAGAAGAGACAGAAAGAGCAGGATTTGCCGGCAAAACTGGAATAAATGTTGAAAATACAGCTCTGGTCTGGTCTGGACACTGATTTAGTTTTTTCCTTCATTGCGTAAACCTACAAACCCACGGTGCCCAAAAGTGATTATTTGAATTATCTTTAGTTCTGAGTTTGCTCTCTGCTTTTGTTTGTTACTTTTCTTTATTGGTCTCAGTGAGGAGTTTATTAGCTTGATTCATCAGATGATTTCACTTCGTGGAAACCGTCTGACCTCGCAGTGTTAGGATTCGTTTGCTCAACGGTAGGCGGGTACTTTTTTTTATTTAACCAATCGCTGGTATTTGGTCGTGACGTATGTAAAGCACCAAATCCCGTAGAAAGAAGGCCAATAACGTCTTTCCCCTTGATAAAATTCACCAAACATTCTCTTTGTTCCGGCTTTAAATCCTCGATCTCAGGAATCGTTGCCAACACAGAATGTCTGTCTTTGTCTACATCCATCTCGATGCTTTGTTTACTGTTGTGCTTAACCACAAAAAGGACCCAGACAGGTGCTTGAGTTTGATGTCATGGCTTCACAGCTCTTCACTGATTGGCCGGTGCACGGTCTACAACTTCTGGGGTTAGGTTTGCGAACCGTCTAGTGTATTCCGATTCCTGACCTAGTTACTGGAGAGAAATTAAATTGAGCAGAGGTACTAGGTGGTGCCAGCCTGGCTATAAACTACATACCAATGGTGCACAAAAGTGATTATATGAGTTTAGTTCTGAGTTTACGTTTGTTTGTTACTTTCTTTACCAAATAGTGACTACAAGATAAAAGAATCAAACTTTACTGGTCTAAGTGGGGAGTTTAAATCCTCTCTCCTCGCTTTAGTTTCTTTTGTGGGCGGGACTTTCTTACCCATTTCCCTCAGAACCGAGGAAAGAAAAATGAGACATGGCCAATTCTGAAATCCACCTAAACCCCAGCATTTGCAGCCAATGAATCAGTGCTAGTGCAGCCTCTGCATCTCAGTGAGTGAATTTTGGCAGTTCTGAGATTTCACATTGTCCATATATTGAGACTGAGACAAACTTGGATGTGTTTCTATCTGCAGGTGAAGGCTCTGGAGACACAAGTTCAGTTGTGGCTTCTTTAAAACAGTAAAAGCACAGACTACATACAGTTCTTTGCAATCTCCAACTTTTGTACTGCTTTGGTTTGTAAAAGTGTTAAAGCACGTGTTTTAAAAATGGACTTTAAGAGTAAAAAGTTAAAGGTATTTTGAACAATTAAAGGATGAAATGTAGTGATTTTAGTAAAGATGTTAGCTGATTTTAAGTGATTCAATTGATTTCTTAATTTTTGTAGTTTACCTTTGCATTTTGATTGCATGATTTATCAGCAGAGGGCGCACAAGTGTCCTCTGCAAGTGATTACACAGTGGAGTAAGGAAGTGTATGGACTTTAAAAAACACAGAGGAGCCTCATTGATTATCAGCAAAACACAGAAATAAGAGACAGGAGTCGGCATTATTTTGTCCCAAACTTTATTGGCAGCTTCACAACAAACTGCACTTTACAAGCCATCATTGTCATCGTCACTTCAAATAATTTACTCCCACGGTTTAGTCTGCCACCCTCTGCAGAACAGGGCTGTGACGGAGACGAGCCTGACAGACAAAATCAGGGCACAATTAACCCGGAAAAAAACCAACATCTCCGTCATAGCCTTTTTGTTCCTCATGTCACGATTGAAATTCCACAGCTGTCCATCACACAGCTTATGGCTTTGTAAAAATCAAAAAAAATTCCTGCGTGTTCCCAGTCCCTCCCCCACAAGTCCTTTTTTAAAAACGTTTAAAAATCTAGAAGTTCTCTCTCGGTAAAGGTGTCCAGAGTTAAAAAGGTGGTACAGTTCACACACTGACGTACAAAGAGCTGAAGAGTAGAAAAACAGAAGATAATACAACGTCCTACGAAACTGGAATGTGTCATCAAACAAGCTGGTAGGTTTGGAAGCCATGTCTCCACCAGGCCCAAAACTAAATCATTATAGACTTATTGATCCATTGCGTATTCTGACTGGATAATAATGTCAAAGCAATACTTGTTCTGGAAGTCAAATCATTCACAATATTATCAAATGTGTTTTTTCCATAGACTTTCTGAAAAATATTTAGAGTAACTCAACAGAAACCGCTCACCCCGGTAAATTTACCATTCATTTTTCCCATAGAAATAAAATAATACTAAAATTTTAAATCTTGCTCAGGTCTAATCAGCTACGTGGCAACTAATGACCTATAATTTTACGTAAAACTTTATAAAATGCTAAGTTATTAAGCATTTTATTGAATCTTGTGTTTTAAAATGTGCTTCATGGACTTAAAACAACAGTATTATGGATATTAGTTAGCATGTAGCTGGTTTGCCACCAATGTTTTTGAACTCTTATAATTAAATGCCAACGGAGAAATTTAATTTGTTGACGTTTCACAGCTCATCCAATCTGCTTCTTCAGTTCTGCACCTTTGATGAGTTGTGAAACGTATACGACCAAATAAACTTTTGTGAGTGGGTGAGACTGTTGAGCGTTTGGATAACTCAGAAACCACAAAACTACATTTTATTCATTTTTTTCTATACATCTGAAACAGTATAAATGACAAAATTAAACATACATTGTTCAGATTGCAAAGATTTAAAAATAGAAAAAATATACTTTGAATAAAATTGTGGCATTTTACTCTCAAAATTCTCAAAAAGAAAATGGGAAAAATGAATCTGATTTCACTTTCAGAACAAGAACTGCAAATACATTCCGACGTTTCCTTGAAATTCCTGAAATGGAAACATGGCCACTAACACGAGACACTACACAACACAGAAGAAAGTCTTCAGCCTATTTCAAAGTTTGTGCAGCGGTTCCTAAGCAACAGTCAAGTTGTATTTTTGATTTATACATGATCAAAATGTCAGGAATGTTTACAACCTGCTCCTTCAAAATAAGATAAAAACGCCTGCTCTGTCTTTTATTCAGAAAGGTCTGAGGGCATACACCACCCGCTACGTGAATAATCAAACATTAATTAATCCAGAAGATATTACACATAGAGGGACCAAGCAAAAAACTCCAAAAAATACCTAAAACAAGGCTGTGAAATTAGCCTATTAGCTGAGACAGGACACCACAAAAAAAAAAACATAATTATTGTTCAAAATTTACCAAGAAGACACCATGTTGCTACTCTTGGTAAATTTTAAACAACAAAAAAATAAAACATGACGCAGCACTGCAGACATCATTCATATTGCTGAATACATGACGTGAGCGCAAAAACATTCGTCATAGCGTCTTCAAAGAGGCAAAACTAAAATTTGGAATGGTGCCTACGGATTTATTTTTGGTGTAAAAGCGGCACAGGCCTATTGTCTAAAAAATCTGCTCCTAAAAAAATCCGTAATCTGAAAAATTGCCTTGTTTCGTCGTATTTAAATTCACAGTCCATTGTTGTAAGAATCGACAGCATTAGTTAAATCGTTAAAAGTCAAAATTAAAATAAAAAACTAAAAAGAGAGGTTGTTAAAACGGAGGAGTATCACAGATGGAAGGGATTCGTCCACGCTAAACAAGGGACATTCAAAAACGCACGCAGACTAATTCACACGTCACACACCGAGTGGTAAAGAGTTTTGCATAGAGGCTACAAAATCACAATAGATTTGAAATGGCCGATCGGGTTTTTTTTTTTGCAAACATTCGAATAAATTCTGCTCAAATTTTGAACCGAGCAGCACTTTGGTCTCGAATTTCTTGGCAACGAAATTTCATATTTATCATAAAGTGGCAAATGTTTAGTCACATGGTTTTGTCAAGTGATCTAAGGCTACAAAATGGAAATAAAAGCAGTGTTTCTGAAATATTGATTTGAATTTTTATGCAGTCTGCTGTGTTTACATGTAAGGATATGGCGGATTTAGTGGTTATAGAAGTTTAAAGGGCCCATATTACGCTATTTTCTTATCTATGTTATAATGTTGTTTCTCAAAAATGTGTAAATAAAACAAATCACAACTCTGGGTCTGTTTTTGATGAGGTAACAAACAATATTATAACACAACTTAAAGCTCACAAGAGTCACTTTTGAGTAATACAGGACCTTTAAGAAAACAAGAATGCCTACTTCAGAAACACTGGTTTACAAAGGTGTATTTCATCCATTCATCCGCTCACTCGTTCATTCGCACAGAGGGGGGGGGTGGGGGTGATGGAGAGGGGGGTATGACGCCAGTGTCAGTCCTCAGGTGGAGACATGCGCCGGGTTTCTGAGCGCGCTCAGTGAGGCTCCCTGCTTCATCACCACGGCAACCGCTGCAGCTTCTACGTTTCTGCGCCAGACAGAAAAACAACATGTTAGAAGATGGTTGCAAAATGTTGAACTTATTCTGAATTTAAAAAGGTAAAAAGGTACAGTATGTAAATTTCTGGAGGAGGAACAATTCAGAGTTTAGTCTATGGTGGGCCCATAGTGAAAAACAACCTGGACTATACAACAAAATCACACTTTGTTGCCCATTGTATTAAATTACTGTATTTTTCGGACTATAAGGGGCAATACCAATAATGTTGAATTCTCTCGTCTATTTTCATACATAAGGCGCACGGGATTTTAAGGTACATTAAGCGAAACCAACGGACGACACTTGAGACTGATCCCTCCCATTGGCAGGTCATGGTGTCTTGCTAATGAAATGTGAATGCAAGTCGAACGAGATGCACCACTCCTTCAGGCCAAAAAAATGAGTCAGGTTTGTGGAGATGCAAGCCCACTCCCAGTATGGATTTACTTCAGTGCAATAAAAACATCCTAAGTGAAAAAACATGTCTGTCTTGGCTACAAAGTGCTTGTACTGTACGGCACACTGTGTACTGTGAGAAAAGGCTTAGAGACACACTGGTTACATATGTGCACACTGCTGTTGTGACCTTGGGCAAGACGCTTCACCCACTTTGTCGAGTATGAATCTGCTGTGTGTTACCGTGAATGAATAACGACGACAGTATAGCGCTATGAGAGGCTTATGAAGTTTGTTATACAAGTGTAAGACATTATACTATACATTTCAAACACACAGGTGCTACAGTCAGTGGGCGTTCTTATCACGTATGGAGTATATCTGTATCTGTAGTGTGAGTGCAGCTGCCTGATCCCCCAGGAGCGGCGTGAGTGTGTACACAGGCCTCAGACTGATAGTGTGTTCTGTACAGGACAAAGTACAGCAGGACTATCAGCTGGACTATGGACCACACATGTCCCACACATGTCCTTCTCATGTACCTCTGCTACACTGTCTGTGCTCTGTGAGAGGAGGATCATTACTATATGAATTTACTGTTCAATATGCGAAAAGATGGAAAAATATACAGTATTTTGAGGCTCAATATTTATCACAATTTCCACAAGATGAGACGAGATATGAGATTGGGTCCATGAAAGCGAGACGATGAGATTTTAATATAATTTCTAATACCAGTATATACATTTCGCGATTTAATTTCCCAGTTTTGGTCTTACAATTTTTTGTTTCCTTGATTTCATGTTTTTGTTTCCACTCTAGCATTGCTTTTTAAAACTGTAAGAACGACAAGTCAAACTCAGGCCCGGGGTCCAAATTTGGCCCGTGATATAATTATATTTGGCCCGCAAGATCATCTCAAATATGTATTACAGTGGGCCCACCGACTATAGATAAGCTATAGAGACATTATTTATTTAAAATGTTGTTATTATTTTACATTATGCTTATTCTGGATTCAATGTTAAGCAAAACCATTATTAAACATTTATTTTAATAAGAAAAGGTTTAACATTACATATCTTGAAAGAAGAGAAAACATGCAGATGTTGAAATTTTTCAATAAATATTTTGTTTGGCTCACGACTTAGTCCCAGTTTTTAATTTTGGCCCTCTCTGAATTTGAGTTTGACATCCCTGCTGTAAGAGATCCTTTTTTTTGCCTTATCCTAACGTAAACAGTTGGAAAAAAATGTCACAAGATAATTTTTCTCTTGTGTGCACGATCTTGTGGCAATTTTGTCTCACGAGATCTTGTCCCATCCCTAATCATGTGTTAAATTTCTCTGTAATAAAACTAAAATGAAATCTCTCCACTTTGACAATACGATTTGAGCTGTAGAAGGTTGAGTAAGTCACTTCTAATACTGTTAATTATTGGTTCATTCTGTTTTTTTATTTGTTGCAGCTCATGTCTTTTAATGATGCCGTCTATTTAAAAATGTTTCACTGAGAATATTCTTGCTTTTGCTTTTGCTATTGACTAATATATCAGTGGTTTATCTCTGTAACAATATATCAGGCTTCAAAATGTGTTATGACAGGCCTATATGAGTGTGCGACTGTCTCTATGGTAGCACATTACAGTATGCAGTTTATATGTAGTACAGTATAGTATGGACTGTGTGTGTGTAAGTGTGTGTGTGTGTGTGGGGCGTGTGTACCTGTAGGCTCATCCTCGCTCTGTTCCTGTGTCTCACTGAACTCAGCTTCTGTAACAAAACAACAAACTTTAGGCATTTGGAGTTTTCACTTTTGCACTAAAATAGGTCAATATTAAAATAGGAATTATTACTAAATTACTAAGTTATTTTGTTACAGCGCTACAGTTTTGTTGCTTGTTTAGAGGAAGGAAACTCATTTATGCGACACATTTGACATTTTCACTGTTTTGATGAGTAAAATAATAAAAGTTATGAATAATATGAGAGTTTCATATTAACTTTGCACAAGACGTGATTTAACAAAGACTTTTAGTATTATAAGGATGTAACGATATCCAAATCTCACAGTACGATATTATAACGATATGCATCTCACGGTACAATATTTATTGCAATATTTTGAAGAGGCTGATATAACTGTAGATGGGACACTTTTTTGCTTTTAAAATACCTTGACAAGATTTTGGTGTGAATTATTTCCACCTTAATCCCAAGAATTCAAGTAAAAAACATATTTCTTCATGTTGTCTGCGCTGAAATGAATCATGGGAGATGTAGTTCCCAAGATGTTGCAACTTTAAAATCATGCATTTAAGTAAAGGAACTTGTGATTCGTGATATATTATGATACTGTGATATATTCTGATATATTATAACAGTCTATGATATTATTGTGAGACTTCTTAATGACAGCCAGCCCTTGTCTCCCGGAAGATGTTGTTGCTTTGCCAAGTTTTACACTCATTTTATAGCAATAAAACAAGTTAAGTAATGCAATGTAGTAAATGCAAGTAAATGCAAAAGGAAGATATATTTAATGTCAAACTGAGAAACATTCCTGGCAACGCAATAATTCCTTTATTGAAATAAATAGTTTCTCCTTTGCCTTTGACCTTCAGTGCTGCTGGGGCGCCGCAGTGCAGTGGATGGGGGAGTGTCTGGGGAAAACTTGCCACCCAGACAGAGGGAAAAGGGCACAGAAAGGCCCAGGCGTCCTGAGAGTCAAACCGAGAACCTTGCTACGAGGGGTGAACGATAGCCACTTAAGACAATGTGCAGCCTGTCTACTTTTATAAATACATTTGGGAACATGTCTGTATTCAAATGTAGTACATAGATTTAGCTTACTAAAATAACTCATGAATTGTTGTCGAATTTAAAAAAAGCAAAACCAGAGCATCAATAACCCCACACAGATCATTCATGTATCACAGATTGTAAATTTTTCAGATTATGGTTTGTGAATTTTTGGTTCATTCTGCAAACATCTCACCTGTGGCTGCCTCCTCTGTGGCCTCCTCCTCCTCCACTGCTTCTTCTGATGGAGCCTGTTCTTCCTGTTGTACCTCCTCTAATACTTCTTCTACTGCTTCTTCTACTGCTTCTTCTACTGCTTCTTCTACTGCTTCTTCTACTGTTTCTTCTGGTGCTGTTTCTTCGGCCTCCTCCTCCACTGCGGGCTCCTCCTCGGCTGGAGCTTCATCTTCTGCTACATCTTCTGAAAGAGCCTCCTCTTCAACTGCTGGCTCCTCCGCTGCTTCCTCGACAGGTTCCTCGGCAAGTTCCTCAGCTTCAGGGGCCTCCTCCTCAGCAGGTTCTTCTTCAGCTGGGGCCTCCTCCTCTACTGCTTCCTCCTCTACTTCGACAGCCTCTTCTACAGCTGGGACCTCCTCCTCTGCTATCTCCTCTTCAACCGCTGGGGCTTCCTCCACAGGTTCCTCTTCTGCTGGTGGCGCCTCCTCCTCAACGTCCACAGTACCAGCAGCCTCCGCCAGGGCTTCCTCCATCTGTCGGGTCAGCTCCTCCGCGATCTCGTCCACAACTGGCTCTGGTTCTGCAGCCTCCTCAACTGCAGGCTCCTCTGCTGCCAGCTCCTCCTCTACTGGAGCAGCCTGGAATTACCAACAGATGTTACAGATGTTGCATTTAAGTGCTACTAAACTGTGTACAGGTGTTTTAAAAGCATTATGTACTGTTCCAGATACTTTACAGCAAATTTAGAGCAAACTAGGTAAACTACACTTCACCTCACGCTCCCCTTTTGCCTTCCAGATACTACCCAGTTTAGTAGCTCTATTTAAAATTGATTGTGGGCATTTAATCCCACTACGTATTACAAATAGAGCACAGACCTCCTCAGCTGGCTCCTCCTCAGCTGGCTCCTCCTCAGCTGGCTCCTCCTCAGCTGGCTCCTCCTCAGCTGGCTCCTCCTCAGCTAGCTCCTCCTCAGCTGGCTCCTCCTCAGCGACTGGAAGCTCCTCCTCCAGGATCTCTGGCTCCTCCTCGATCACCTGCAGATCACACATCACATGTTTGAGCACAGCAGATTTTTGGCAGATTTGGACATAACATCTCGTCAGATTTGAACCTGTTCCAGGGTTTGGTACTTTGTTATTTTAAAATGATTGACAGATCATTTGTGAAGGTAGAAAATTTTTTGGCGTTGCAGCAAAATTCTAAAATATGTGTTTTTATTGTTGAAAAATAAATAAAGGACATTTTTGAACACTACGTGTATGAGTCTGAATTTTTGGAATAACCACAAGTACAGTTCTGTGTGCAGAGATGGGGGTAGGTGAAAAAAAGATTTCTGAGCACTCAAGCCTTACAAATACAACTGTGACCAAAGTCATGATAAGAGAACACTCTTAGAACATTATTAACAGCTCATAAAAGTTTGACATAATATCTCCCCTTTAATGTTACCAGACTGAGGCGAACTGCCATGTGTGCTGTCGTGTAGCCTTTAGGCCACAGTGGAGCACATGTACTCATAATGATTCACATGTACGATCAAACCCACCTCCTCGGGCTCTGGCTCAGGCTCTGGTTCAGGCTCAGGCTCGGGCTCGGCCACCTCGGGCTCAGGCTCTGCTGCTTCAGGCTCCGGCTCTGGAAAGAACATTTGACATTACAGTTCTGATCATTATTTACATAAGCAGGGAAAGCAGCACAGAGCAGTAATGAATTATCACTCAGTTAACGACTCCTCAATTTTATTGATACTTTGCAGTGACATTACGCTGGAGGGTTCTGCATGTATACCTAAGAAGTAATCTTCATTAGATATCATGGTAACACAATTACAAAACAAGAAAATTCTAAATCACTTTAAACAACACACATTTTCAGCAGCGTTTGAGCTATATTCATATTTATCTCTTTGATTTTCAACTAAAAGGTGAGAGTGACCAACTGAAAAGGCAGCTTGTGGCTGTCGTGTTATTTGAGTGGGACTTATTTAACAGGACAACTCACTCTTTCATTCTCTTTGTATGTTTGACTTTATGAACTATAACATCAACCTGCCAAGGGACAACAGGTGGAAATTAACACTAGAGCTAAAACCTGGTACAATGCATCTCACTGTCCCTGTCTCATTAAATAAATAAACTAAACTAAACTTCTGTAGTTTCATAGTTTCAGCAAAGTCACTTAATGGTCAGGTTGTGTTAAAATAAAGCCCAAACTTAAGTCTAACTTGAGTAACAGCTTGAGACAGCGCAGTGCCTCCAGTTAGCATCACACCCCCAGGGAATGTTGATGACATTAGCTGCAAAGTATCAATCCCATTATGGTAGCTGCACAGCCACAATATTGCAAAAATTCAAAATATGGCACTTAAAGGATAATGCTAAAAGTACACGATAGTTGAAGTTAAAACCTTTTCTAAATGTACTAAACACATCCTAAATAAGAAATGAGCTACACAAATATTAAACAAAAAAAATGTATACACTCATATTGCGTTTTATTCAACAGGGGGGATTACTGGTTAAATAAACAATTGATACTAGAGCAAAAAAAGTACTGAATCATTAAGCAGATATAGTTGTAGCTAGTAACAGTTTAATCATGTGTCCAGCAGGTGGAGCTCTGACAAACCCTGACTGTGTGCAGTACAGTATTTTACCTGGAGGGGCAGCAGTGTCCTCTGCCACAGCCGCCTCGATCACCTCCTCCACGGGCACAGGGTCAGGCTCGATCACAGCTGAAGGCAGAAGCATCATGGGAAATATGTAAACAGATCATACAAACGCTCAAACTGCCTCACACCTCAACACCACCTTCCACTGAGTGACTTGTTCATAGATTCATGTATGGACTTTGGAAATGTAGAGATGCACAATAAAAATCTGTTAGAGTTTGAATGTACCAGAATTTACAAAGAAATTAAATTATGTAGACAAAGCTTCAGGTTTTAATCATGATTTTGTCCGACAAGTCCTTAAAGTATTTGTCAACTTTCAAATAAATATAAACTTTCTTTTTATTATTATTTAAAGGTCCTGTATTACACAAAATTGATAATGTTGTTACCTCATTAAAAACATACCTGGATTTGTACATATCAATATATATATACTGAAGTAAAGGACTTTTAATATATTCAGTCGGTGTGCCTCGGGTTTGTACCTTGCCCACTTTTACATTTTTTAGTAGGGGCTACATTTTGTTAATATTTCAAGTTTAACCCTTGTAGAGCACCTGCACTGCCACTTTTGACTTTTCTATGACCCAGTGAAGCTCTCTACTTCTTCTCTTCTCTTCTGATACCTGGATTTGTGTTTTGTTTCATTCACATATGTTTGAGTCAAGCTTTATTATGAGTCTGTCTACATTTCCAAAGCTCAAAATGCTCTGTTCCACCTTGTGATAGTGGTAATTTTCAAGTTAAGAGTTTCCTTTTTCCTTTTGTTCAGTAGAGATTGACAATATCCAAATGATTCTAGTGAGGATGTATGGAGTTTAAAAAGAAAGTGGAGCGCTTCATGAACAAAGTGTTTTCTGTTTGAGAGAAGAACTATATATCTAAATATGCAGGGTTTGTGTGTAAAACCTGTGTGAATGAAACAAAACACAACTCCAGGTGTGTTTGTGATGAACAAACAACATTATAAGATATGGGCCCTTTAACGGTTTCATTGTGAGGTTGATCTACCCACAGTTTTAGACCTCAGTGTTTGTTCTTTTGTACAGTGTCTTGTTGGAGTTACCTTCTTGAGCAGATTCCACGGGTGCAGCCTCCACAGGAGCAGCCGCCTCCTCACGAGCCTGGACCACCACAGCCTTCTCCTTCAGACCTGAGTGTACACGGTTACGGACGATATTTAGAACAACATGTATACGGCAACACGGGGGCGGTCTCACAGGATCAATAAATGTTGGCTAAAGAAAAAGGGACGTAAATAATGTGGAATTTAGAAATATCCAAAGAAGGTAGAACAAAAGTCTGAGTGAATACATTTCGCCACTCAACCAAGTCGCTTCTTCAATTCTGTAAAAGAGCTGTAAAATCTATGTACTAAGACCAACCAAGTAGTAGTTCTTAGGTTACTGCAATACTTATCGGTAAATGTGCAATACTAAACACTAAATCAATCTTTTTTTGCTACTAGACTACGTGTATAGTGTTTTATTAGCATGATCTACTGTTCCTACTCTTAGTTTTTGGCAATGTTACTAGGTACAACTGCAGCTTTGTCAAAAACTGAGTGTCTGCTGCTTCCAAGTACTATGTGACATCACACAGAATAGACCAATCACACTGTTTCTTACACCTCCAGCCCCTCTCTCCTGCCCAGTTTAGCAGCTCTGTTAGAAATGTGGTTGTGGGTGGAGTTTAGATGTTTAAATAAGACTTGAACTGAACTGATGAAGCTGCTTGGAGAGGCAAAACTCATTCACTCTTAAACATTTGTTCATTTGATAATTTAACCTTATTTTTCTATGCACACTATTTGCAGGACTGAGAGACAATTCTATAATTTCGACTGACTGACTGGAAAAAAATTTGGAGAATTGTGGAATTGAGCAGTGGAAAAAAATATTGCACAGACATAAGCAATAGTAAAAGCATTTGGTAGGTTTCTTCTGCAGACTGACATGGTTTCCTAAATATTTCTGACTTGAACAACATGATTTATTGTTGAATTATTAGCTTTATGTATGCAATCTACAAAACTACTTATATTAATATTATCAATATCCAAAAAAAATACACCAAAACTCGACAGAAAACAGGACACAGTTTTCCAATCGGAAACTTTAATGACATAAAATGATGTAAACTTGATATAATGAAACCTTTAAACAAAAGGCGACTCAAGTAACTTTTTTTTTTAACAAAGTGTACTGTATTGTACTTCTAACACATAATTCTTCCCTTGAGTATTATTTTGAAATAACATTACTCTTGAGTGAAATATTTGCCTGCTCTACTCAACCCCTGGTATTGAAAAACTAGATGATGATTCAAAGTACAATCAAAGGAAATACTTAAGAGTGGTTCGCTCATGTAGATTCCATTTGTATTTGTCAAAACTCAACATTTAAAGCTGGATTGTCACAAGGTTTGAGTTTTCAGACTCGCAAGAATCCATCTTGTACTGCACTCACTGTTCTGTTTGACTCCACACAACTTTTGGTGTGGAGCAGAAATGATATATTTTATTATGTACCAAGAGCACGAAGCGGTAAATAAATGCAAGGCGAACTAATATTCTGATCACAACCCGCTCCCCTCTGCCTGCCCCAAGCAAATGTATTAATCTAAAGATGTTTTTGGAGATATGCAAATTTAGAATATCGAGTGTAGAGTGTATTAAAGCTACCATCTGCAATTAGATTTGTCGATCCGCCCCCTGTTGTATTCTTACATATTGCCACTAGATGGTGTCTACGTTACTGCAGTCTGATAGCGTGCCACAAGACCACAGGCGAGTTAAACTTACTTAAACTTACAGATGGGTGCTTTAAAATACATGAAATAAACATATGAAATGAAATGGTTTATATTTTTTGCCATTTTTACAGCCTGTTCACATTTTGCGCGATACTCAACCCTCAACCCTGACATTTACAGACACATTTTTGCACATTTCTGATGGATAAAGCAATAAGACTGAATATTGTCTATTGTCAGCATTAGCGTGACAGCAACACTCACAGCAACTAGCATGCTAACAGCACACTAACCATAGCTTTCTGGTTTGTGGATAATGCTTTATAATTAAATTAGGAGAAGACAGGGCACAGTCATCTCATTTTTGACCCCCAGAGCTGCTTTTATCTGTTCTGAAGCAAAATAAATCTTTAAAAAATGTTATATATCCAATTAAATTTTTCTTAATTTTACCCACCATGATTCCAGACCAGTACGAAACTAGTCAGAACTTTGACTGAGGTAAAACTGAACATTTTGACCTCACTGTTTGAACAATAACTCCACGTATCTTCTGCCACATGCTCTGTATCTGATCTTTAGCTCTTCTCTGCTTTACTCTTCTTGGGCTTCTCCTTCGCTCTCTCCTCTCCTCTGCTCGCGTTCTTCCTCCTCTCCTCCTCCTCCTTCCTCATCTTCTCCGTCCTCATCCTCTCCAGAGCCTTCTCCAGCTCCTCTCTCTCCATCCTGTTCTCCTCCTCCCTCAGCTTCGCCGTCACCCTTGCCCTCACCCGCTCAGACATGTTGGCCCTGCCCACCTCCAGCGCCCTGGCCTCCTCGCCCTCTTCGGCCAGCAGCTGCCGGACCTCCGCCAAGGCCATGCGCGCGAGCTTCTTGGCCTCGACGCGTTCGTGGATGAGGGACAGCTGGAGTTTGAGGGCCTCGCGGAGTTTGGCCTGGGCCGGGCTCGGTGCTACGGGATGGTGTACAGAAACTTGTGGGTTTTAAGTCAAGTTTGGGTGAGGAAAGAACATGCCAACGTCTTGTTACAGGGCACAGCAATGCAAGCTCGGGCTGGCGGTTGGTTAAAACAATTTCGTCACAGCAAAAGTGTTGTTGTAGCACTGGGATTTGGTAAGTTTTGGAGTCAGACGCCCTTCCTGTCGGGCCATTACTGTGGCTGGTGTAGGCAAGTATGATGACGCAGAAGTTTGTAGTACAACATTTACTCATTTACTAATACAATAATGCAAGTATTAGTACTAGTTTATTAAAAAGTTACTCAGACATCATACTTTTACTCTTACTTGAGTAAAAGTTTTGGTTACTCTTCCCACTGCAAGTAAAAGCTCTTAAATAGTACACGGTAGGGATGGGCATTCATTAAAATTTTCAATCATTAACAATTCAATTAAATTTGAATCATGAACATTTTTATATTAAAATTATCATCATTATTATTCCTATGACTTATCTACATAAATAAAATCAACTTTACAACATATAAACTATAACCGCCATAGAGCCACATCAGCCCGTTTCACATTATAATGTGTTTAATGCAGCTTTGACACATTTGTTTACGTTTTACAGAAATGAAACTTAAAACCACATGGCTCATCTGAATAAACTATAAGCGCTGAAAAAAAAAACTCTCTCCTTGTGCCCTGATGTGGTTCAGCTTCTGTCGGACTAAAGGACATGACTCAGTGGAATATGAGTGTTCTCTCTGTGACAGAGGGATGTTGTTGATGATGATGATGTTGATTTTGTTCTCTGTGTGTGTGTCACTTTAGAGATGGTTCATGTTTTCAGAGATCCAACGTGTGCAGGTTTAGTGCAGCTCTTTATTTATCAGTCATTTCACTCACTTTATTTATGTTGGTCACTTTATTTATTTTGGCTTCTGTTATGATGAAAAGACTGAAAAGTGTTTGTCTTTTGGACGCATGTGCACTCAACTTTATGTTGCAGTAACCGGGATACTGTGTTTACATGCACCATGATGAAACCATGATACTAAAAAAAAACCCATTATACCCGGGACACTGATGTGCTGTAAATACACTCACTGAGTTGTACAGTGTCTCGAAGGAGCCAGAGCCCAATCGTGGGACTGTGAGGCCACAACTCCAATGTTTGTTTCAGAAGCAGCCTATCCTCATTACACTACGCACAGCAACCTACATTGAGTTTGTTGATTAAAAAGGAACATGATCGACGAAATTCTTAATGATCAATTATCAATTAGTCGACTATTCATGCCCATCCATAGTGCAAAGCTGTATCATTTTGATCCCAGTCAGAGTATTTTTATTGTCTGCAAATCAAGAAATAAGGTTGTCTTTAGCATTGCTGGTGTCTAAAAGTAGTTCTGCTTTTCATGTTTTTAAGATGGTAAAAATGACATACAGTGCCTTGAAATAAGTCTTATTCATCTTGTATATCTGAAACAATTTCTGCTGCCAAAACTGTTAAGGACTAAAGTAGTATAATTATTATCATTTGGCACATATTACATCCAGGTTTTCAGAGAACATTTGCCCTGATAAACCCAGTGGGGACACACAGCAGGGTCTGGAGCGATGGAAAATAAAGCTTCTCTAGGTCACGTTAAATGAAATAAACAAAGGATTTTTGGCAGTCGGCCTAAAACCTGATCACTCAACAAAATGGAACAGAAGACACTAAAAAAATAAAAACTATTAGTACGACCCAAATCTTAAAGGGCCAATATTAAGCCATTTCCTTATTTCTGCTATGATATTGTTTCCTCATCACAAACATGCTTGAAGTTGTTTTGTTCTCTGCTGAACTAAAGGTAAAAGGAGCTGTTAACTTGAAAACTACCACCACATGACATCGTGGAACAGAGCATTTTGAGCTTTGATGATGTAGACAGACTAATAATAAAAGGTGTGAATGAAACACAACTCCAGGTATGTTTTTGAGGAGGTAACAAGATTATAACATGATTAAAAGTTTACAAGAGTCAAGTTTGTGTAATATAGGACCGTTAAAAGTTCAGTTCTGGTAATGAATTTACAGATACAGATATAGAAATGGCAGGAACTTAATCGTTTTGTTTTTATTTTGTTTTTTTAAGCAGCACCAGGTGGCACCAGGCAGAGCTACATGACATACAAGATGACATACAAGATTTGTCACGTTCTCATCGACCAGGACAAAATTTTAACTCCTCCTATTAATTCCTAATACCTGAATTTCACAATTCAGTTTCCAATTTTGGCTTTCCAATTTTATTTGATTTCATATTTTTGTTTCCATTTTAGTTTTGCATGTCTGTCAAGTTATTTTGGATCAGTAAAAAAAATCTGTAATGACTAGGGATGGGTTTTCTGAGACGATACAGACATTCAAGTAACTATTTGAGTAACTATCATAAATAAACTTTTCACT